TGAATCTCAGTCCCACATGAGCCTGAAGCTGCTCTTCTGGAAATGCGACTGAAATCACCTCAAATTTGGAATTCAGAGTTGCTAGGGACACAGTGCTCATGTTGGTAAGAAATTTTGGAGCAATTCAGGCTCTGATTTTTAAATCCATCTTACATCTCCAGGCAGTAAACCCTTACTATTTTTTTTTCAGGAAAGACAAACCTTAGGGTTATTGGCAGATCCTGGCTGAGAGCAAGTGCAGTAACCTGCAGAAGGCTATAAACTGTGCCTTAGCCCTGTCACATGTTTTGTTCATGCTTGAATTTCCTCCATCTCTGTATTCCTACAATTTCACCCTGCCTTTTGAGCACATGCAAAGAAAATCCAAAAAAAACAAACCTAAACTTTAAAACACAGCATTGCTCCAAGAATAGCAGTGATTAGGCTTTGAGGGGCAGTAGGTTCCAGAGGGAAGCGTTTTGTTTTCAATTTAATTTGATCTTCACTTTCACCAGTACTCAGAGTTTCCCCCAAGACATTCCTTCAGGGGAAACGCTAGTCAGCATTTCCCTGATTCAGGGAAGGGCTTAGCTTAATGCACAGAACAGTTTTCCACTCACCACTGGCTCTGGATAGTGTCACGTTTGAGAAGACACCTCACATCATTCCATGTCCATTCAGATGAAAGTGAAGCCCAAAAAACACCTAATTAATGACAGTAATTAACTAATTATTACAAATTAATACTAAATGATGCAATAAATAGATTTAATTACAGTCACGGTTAAATACAATGTCAGCACCTTTATGTGGAACATGGCCAGCCCACAAGAGTTTTGAAATCACAAATTCCAAAATTTTCACACTGCTTACTTCAGATGCCTTTTTGGGGTAACCCAAGCTCAAGAGGAAGTAGTGCAGAGCACTTTTTTTTCAGAACAAGGATGCTCTGGACTTTTTAAGCCAGGTACAAGTACTGTATCTTGAATTTCCCTTTACAAAATGAGGGGTCACCAGTTCATCTCTGGGAATCCCAGCCTACTGGACTGTGAGTGTCTGGTTTTGGTTGTTTTAAACACACATAGACATGTTGAGAATTGTCTTTTTAAGTCTGCAGGACACATCCATCCCATTTTAAGCAGCTGCAAAGTTGCAAAGAATGATTGCCTGTGTTTAGTAGATTAAAAACTGCCTGTGTTTAATTCATGCCTCAGAGCTGAAAGCTCTAAAAGTGCTGGGTGGATCATTTTGGTTTTTCAAAATTAAGGTGTTTCATTCCCTACAGTTTCTCCTTCTTTGTGTGTCATCATTTTCAAAGCTTTTATGGCAGGCTTAAATTTAGAGTCCTTGTGGCACCACCTTTACCCTATGTGATCACAATTTCATGCTTCCTGCCTCAAAAAGATGGTGCCAAGATGGGTGGGGAACTTCTCAGTGAGGTAACCAAGATGGGCAAAATAGTATCACATATGATTTATTTTCCAGTTTCAGGGCAAGTACATCAGCAGAAGTGTGCTTAGGTAGGTCACTTCATTCAGAAAGAATGGGCCAGAGTTAAGGGAAGACAGATGGGTTTCATGGTCCCAGGGCTGGCAGGGAAGTCAGAGATATATGGGGGTGTGAGTATAGTCAGAGAGAGAGATATAAAATACTGATTATTTCCTGGGAACTTTAATTGCACTATCTGACCTGTAATCATATTTACAGGCCACCAACATTTCCCAGCCCCATTGTCTAAAGGCAGCTTTCTAATTTTACACCAAGGTAGCTAAAGGAAGGAGGCCTGGGCTTTTAATGAATCAGCAGGGACTTCTGCCTGGTCAGCCCTTCAGGAAAGCAAACCATTTCTACCAGCAGACAGTTCTGATTATTTAATTTAGGAATCCAGCTCTTTGAGGAAGAGTCTCTGGCTTGCCTGTAGACAGTTTGTCGGTGCACAGACCACATTTCTATATGGATCTAGCCCTGAAAAGCAGTTTCTTAGTGAAGGATTAAAGAGACAACTGTTCTGTGAAGCTGCAAACCTCTTTTGGACTGCAATGATCCTAGGACTTCTTTGATGGCATTGAACTGTTTCTACTTAAACTGCAAAATACTCTTTTTCCAATGGTTGTGTGCTTCCTTAAATGTTGCATTTCACAGAGTGAGAATCTCAATAGAACCCGTGAGAAGACTTTTTTCTTTGAGTTTCTTTGGAGTATCATCTATTCCTGCATTTCCAGCCTTAGAAATGCCAGAATTTTCCAGCATGATCAGCACTGTGTTTGCTTGCACAGCCTCTGCAAGGATTGGCACTGTGAAGCCCTTTAACTGCTAAGAGGGAATGCAGAGTTCTCTTCTAAATTGATCTCTCTTTAAATATCTATTTGTTGTGGGGTTTTGGGATTTATTCTGGCTGTGGGGCTTTGTTGTTTGTTTGTTTTGTTTTTACAGGATTTCCAAAATAAGCAAAGAAAAAATGTCAATAGAAAGGGCCTGTATTCTAAAATGGTCCCTTACACTGTTTTAACACCAGTGGTTTTGCAGGCATTACCTAGGACAGGAGACTCACATCTCCTTTTTAAAGGAATAGATGGGATATATTTTTAAAATGCTCTGAGAGATCAAAGCCTGAAAAGGGATTTGTATTATTGCTGCTTTTGTAAAGCAAAGTTATGGCTTCATCAGTTATGCAAAACAATGGGAGGAAAGAGGGTTTTCACACATCAGGTTCTGTCCACAGTACAAATTAACTAAATGAATAACAAACACAAGGAAGAAACATAGTATTTTCTTTCTAGATGCAATTACCTTGTTGACTTGAGTTCAGCTCAGGAAAACCCATTATTAATAAAACCTTGCCATGAATATCAAGCAGGTGGCCTAATCTGATACAACTGTAGCCTGAAGAGAGAGGCTGCACTGAAGTGATTCAGTGGCAAATAAGGTAAGAGGCAGAATAAAATACACAGCTGATCCAAGGCAAGCCCAATGGCTCAGGCTTAGAGATCCCACATATAAAATTCTAACCTCATTGTTGATAAAAACATATTATTCTCCTCTCTGGATCTCTCTCTTGGTTTTCTCTTGTGTTCTGTGGCAAATCCCTTTTTATTGGACTCTTTGGCCCCTGCCAAAGGGGTCTCTTCAAACTCAAAGGTGAAAAAAAAACCCAGCCTGCAAACCTTTTTAATAGTCACTTTTAGGTTGAGAGGAAGCTAATGTTTAATAAAATCTGCTTCTGGATGATGCTTATTTCTCTTGAGAGCTCCATATATACCAGCCCATCTAATAAAAAGATAATGAAAACCTATTATCAAATGTCAATTGAAGCTCAAGCTATGTAGAAAGAAATTTAAAATTCCAGTATCAGGCTTTTAAAAGCAGTCAGGTGTTTTGGGCATATTTGTTTTTAGTGGTTCTGCTCAAGACTTCCTATATGCACCTAATTTTCAGAACCTGCCAGTCATCCCATCCCCACTCACAGAAAATGACCAAACACAATACAGATCTCTTTTTAAAATCAAGTACACAGGTGGCTAAATTACTTTGAAAGTGCTGGCCATAATTTCTACCATTCTATTTTATTTATTTCTGCTATTTACCTGTCTACTTAGACTGCAAGACTTCAAAGAAAATATTACATTGTCCTTTTTGCTTTATTCAGTTCTCTGCACAATGTTAATTAATAAATAAAGCATGCAGACAAAGGAATTAATTCCACTTAAAACGTGCAGAATATTTGAGATTCAAAATATTTTTAATGGGCCTTTGAAGGAGTGTGTTTTACAATGCATGTGGGTCAACTGCAAAATAAGAAAACAAAGGCCATATTTAGATTAATTTTGTGACTTTAATCCATGCTCTTTTCATTAAAGCTCCTTCCCTCCACAGCCATCTCTCACATGAGGAAGAGATAGGACAACCTGGACAATTACAGAATAGCAAAATCCAAAGGGAGTTTGGGAGACAGAGGGAAGAATAAACAGACATATTGTCAGGTTCTGCCAAGAAAGTACCTGGAACAAATGTATCTCTCTATTATTGCATGCTAAATGAGTTCACCTGAAGAATTGCCTGGAATTTAGTAGTGGCATTTCCTGAGGAACAGGTTTGAAATGATCTTAATCATGACCAAGTGATACTTTGCTGATTTTGAAAAGGCAGATAATTATGGGACATTTCCATGGGCTGATGAAGGGGCATGGGTTTGGAGGGGCTTAGGTTCTCTTTCAGTGTAGAAAAGAGTCAGGGAAAGCTTGTAAACCACATGTTTCTTCTCAGATTACAGCAACCTGCTGGTGTCCCTGTCCAGAATGGGGCTGAGCAGATCCAGCACTGGGTGGGTGATGGCTCTGATTTACAGCATTACTGTGCCAATTCTTTGTACAGCAGTGCTCCAGCTGTCTCAGGCAGGCCCAAGCCCACCCTGCCATGCTGAGTGCCTGCAAAAATGACCATGAGAGGGGTTCAATGTGTTCTCTGTGCTAAGAGAAAACCCTGTAGAAAACACTTGAGCTCTGCTATCCCAGCATAGTCCAGCACCTGAGGCTTTTGCCAGCCTGGATTGCAGATATTGTGCAGAAGTCTCAATTGGGTGCTACAATAAATAGCAGAGACATTGAAAGGAGCACCAAATGCAGGGTAACTATTGCAGCTCAAAGTCCATGCTTCAGAGCAGTTTGTTGTTTACATGTAACAGCCTGAAAGAAGGATCTACACAAACAAGCAGGGGGAAAAAAATCAAAAGAACATCTATAAGCAAGGCAGTATGGTTTTCTTTGCTGTCTACATCACTGCCCCTCCAAAGTGTCTTTGAAGAGAAGGACATTCCAGCTGATCACTGCTGATGTTCATATACAGAGCTACCATTCCAATTTTGGAAACCCATAAATTGGTTTGCATTTTTATATGATGTCTGCTTATCTCTGAAGCTGCAGCCTGACCTTCAGAAGTTACCCAAGAGCTGGCCTCTCCAGCTTGCTGTCAGCATTTGCCGTGAGCATTTACTCAAGTGCTCACACTGGAGCTGCATTGTCTTTAAAAATCCAGTTTTGATGGTTGCTTAGGGGTGATCTGAGAAGTGTGGCTGGTGCTGGTTCTGTGTCCAGTGCTCTGACTGGAGGTAGCTTTGAAATTCAGAAGCCAACTTTTCCCAGGCCTAACGTTTTTATACACACTTGGTTTATCTTGTCAGTGCTTGTCCACATGGTACACAATTTATGAAGCATTGAGATAAAATCAAGCTTATAAACATATATTTTATTTGTAGGTGTGGCCTTTTTTTCCATGAATAAATTCATACAGGCAGTCTGGCTAAAGAGAGCCAGTTGTACACAACTAATCAGTGTTAAAGTAACAGCTTTATTTCATAACTTTAGAGGAAAACAGCTGAATTATCAGCTTTGAGGGGAAAAAAGACACCTACCTTTTCTCTGCAATATAACTACTATTTTTTTCATTTTTATTGCTGCAGGTTAGAAATAATTGCCCAGGCTTTTAAATCTCTGCATTGTCCTATTTTGAGGAACAGCCATTTATTTAACTACAGGAAATCCTAAAGGGCACAAGAATCATCCAGACTTTTTAGTACAGACCTGACTTTATTAATACAAGTTGCAACTGACCAGTTACTGGACTGAAGAAAAGGCAAAAAGTAGAAATAGTTGGGTTTTTGCTGCCTCTGAATAAAAGGCATATACTTAAACATTTCCCTGAAAAGGCCAAGAGGTCACATGTTGGCTCTACTCTTTCCAGTCCTCCACCTCCATCTAAAGATAAAACCTGGCAGGTACAGGATACCTCTGGAAACCTAGCTTGATGAAGGCTCAGCTTTTGGATAGCCCATGGTTTTAACTGCTGATCAGGTTTGGAAAAATGGCTGTTTGAACTCCTGAAGTTTCTATTAAAATAATGAAAACTAAGTATCTGTAAAAATCCATTTATGTATTTAAAGTATTAAAAAGAAAATAAATAACATAACTTTCAAGTATTGCATGTTCTTCAAGAACTACATCTTCAAATCTTACAAGGGTAATCTCTCCTCTCTTGTGGTTCACCACACAGTTGCATGAACACAAGAAATGTGTGAGACCAAATAGGACTCAGATCACCATGACATGGAATCTGTGTCACTGAAGAGTCTGTGTGTTTGTCCCACTTTGAATCCCTCTGTTTTAGGTATGGGTGAATAGAATAGTTCAAAGTTTTCCTGGTAAAGTTGTTCCTGCCCTCTCTGGTGATATGAACACTTTCCTGTTTTGAGTGGAAACAGTTATCATGGGATTACAGCAAACTTTTTCATAGCTGCCTCACACCCTGACTTCCAATCATTCTGTACTGACCAGCTTTTCAAGCTTCCCTGAGCTTTTTTTTTTCCTGAACTTTTCCAACTGCAGTTCCCAGCTTTTTCCAGAAATTGTTACCATTAGTTCATAAGTGCGTGACCTAATACACTTCTTTTATTCTAATAGTTCACTTCCTAATGTATGACAGTTTGATCCTTTGCTGCACTGGCAATATCACAAATTCTCATCAAAAAGTTTGATTAATACATTCCTGTGCAGTCCTATTATTGTGCCAAGGCCATTCATGAAAATAATTGAAGAGATCAGTCCAAAAACTAATCCTTTCACTACAGCACTACAGGAATGTGTTTGCTTCCATCTCCAATGTGGAAATCCCTGTTGTGCATTTGTGACAGAGGCACATTTTTCTCTTCTCCAGCCCTGACAACAGTGCGCTGCTTCCATGGCCCCACTGGAGATACCCAAATTGACTCAGATTCCCTCAAGACAGATCAGAATGAGGTTGTATATGGGCCAGATAAATTTTCCCCATGGATTACATTTGTTGGTCATCTGGTAAAGAAGCAGACTTCCCAGGTGAGAAACTGTCAAGGAAAGGTCTTTATGTTTCTGCCTTGAAAACCTCCACAGTGTCAGCCTCTCTGTCTGAGCTTGTTTAGCTCTTCTCTGCTTCTCTTCCTCCTCGTTTTTTAGGTGACTCCTTTCATCTGTGCTCTGGGGACACACTGTTGAAAGCTAATGCCAAATGGGCGGTGCTGCTGCTGTCTCTGAAGAAAACTGTTTTCTATCAGGTTATGTGCTCTTCTGTCCTGAAAGTTTGTCCCATTCCAAGAAAACAAATAGATCCAAATATCTCCAAACTTCTTACCTCTGTGCCCAAGATGGGGCTTTAACCCACTCCTGGATCCAGTACACCACACTGAAAAGAGAAACACAGCAAACATGCAAATTCAGAAAATACCTGCACATGCTTTACCATCTGCATTTGTGCTCCATTCCCCCTCCTGGTTTTGGCACTGCAGCCAATGCAACTGTATGTACTGAAAACTATGGCAAAGTTCTTGTTCTGTTTTATACTTCCTTTCCTCTTTTCCATTTATATGCCTGAGGTGCCCTTTGCCATTTCTTTTAAAGCAGTTAAATTTTCTGGAAGATGTTGTCTGGGCAATTGTCACGATAGCCTTACAAATCTGCAGTTGTAAGACAGCTTTCCTTGACAGATTTTTTTCTGAACATGTATTATCCTTTTCCCATATTAGGAGGATCTCATTATTTTTGCAATCCTGTTTTGAGATAGGATTATCTGTGAAATCCTTCTCCAAACACCAGCCCGACACAAGTTTTCCAGATAAATTTGTGTACCTTAATTCAAAACCAGGCTAAGTTTGCTCCACATTCAAATCCTAGAATTTCTTGGACCAATTTGTGTCGCTGTTGCCCTAAGTTCTTTGATTTTTTTTTTCCTTCATTATTTATAGTTTTTGCTGTTTTTTCAGTCTCCTTAGTTTAAGGTGGATTTTGTCATAAGCATTCTAGCTAAGGTTATTTTTTTGAACAGTTTGTCATTTCCTCAAGTACCTTCCAAACCCAGTTCAAAAAACACATCTCCTTTTCCCTCCTCCACAAGAGTTGCAGTGAAAAAAACCTGTCAGGAAGCCATGACAGGAACTTCTGGTCTCTAACATTATTGGTACAATTTGTTCTCCAACATATTTCTTCAGAGTTACAGTGATGTACAATGCTCAGAAATGTTTCTGTCTAGACTGGTATTCCACAGATCTTTTTTCATACCAAAATGCATCTGTAGCCCAATTTTATTTTCCTTTTGAAATGAGAGTAACCAAATAATCAGAGTTTTTTCTTTGTTTATCCATGTTCTCTCTTTGTGATAATATACAGGATTGCCAATGGTTTTTATCATTAGATGCGGTTTTGGGGAACGGCAAAAACTGTTTTGTCACATCCCCCACTCCAGCCATGGTCAGAATGGAGTTTGGTTATTCCTTCAGGGAAGTCCTGCAGCAGATGTTCCAGTTTATTCATTTTAAGATACATCCTGCCCTTTCTGTACAAAGTTTCATTTCTCCTTCCCATTGAACAAATCTGTCACTATCACCTGCCTGGCTACTTTTCTCATCCTTGTGCTCTGTCCATCTGTTCTCCCTTGTTCTTTCAGCTGTGTCATACCCTTTATTCTATGAGTTGGGGACTAGGACCAGCTTTGGAGGCCACACAGGTCTCCTCCAGCCCTTGCCTCTTGACTTATAAAAAAAAAAATGTAAATTCATAGAGGTTTTCTTTTCCATTGTCACAGATAGTCAATTCCTCTTTACTGTTCTCCTTTCCTCTACAGTGTCTTAAGAAATACAACTTGAAAAGAAGCTTTTTTGGGTCTCATAATCCCAAGAATATTCCATCCAGACCTGAGTTAGTATTTGCAGAGGTCAAAAAAGGAAGTAGCAGTGTACTTGAATGAGTATAGCTTATTATTAAAAAAAAAAAAACCAAAAAAAAAAACCAAACAAACAACCTTCTTTTTATAGTTACATTGAATTAAAATATAATCTTCCTGTTTGCTTGTAAATGTTTTTTGATAATTTTACAAAGCCATGGTGGCTGCTAATTCTGTATAAAGGATTGAGCAGCTTGTCTGCTTTTTTGGGGGAAATCCTTCACTTAACTAGAATGATCTTCATTAATTTAAGGAATGGACAGGCAAACTGGCTGCCACATGTGCACCACAGTTGCTGTAAGTTCATTCCTGAATTTACCTTATAATAGAAGCTTATCCCTCTTGACTCTTAGTGCCATATTGGGCATTTCAATGCACATCCTGGAAGGCCATTCAAATAGTCTTGAACTCTTGGAGTTATAGGAACACAGCTAGCTCAATATTCATAGTAATTTTTAAATGGAATTATATAGAAAATGGGGTATCTGCCACTGGTGTCTCATTGGTACGTGTCCTTAGTACTTTAATGCATGGTTTTAACAGATTTTATTAGTAGTAAAATAGTAAAAGCTCATTTGGAGACTTGAGAAGGTTTGAGTGTCAAACTCCTTTGCCCTGATATTCTTTGGAGACAAACGATCTCTGATTCTTACTGGAAACTGCAGGTCTCCTGGCAACTCTTGTGGATGGAACCTGTTAGAAAACTCATCTGTTACAAAAGGAAGTTACAGTGGCCTCTGAGAGGTTTTGGAGACCACATTCATCTACCCAAGCATCAGAACCAGCTTTGCCTGATTATGTGGAGTCATACCAGGAACTAAATTTTCTAGACTTTAATTCTAGTATGTATATCTATCTATATATACCATTTTAAAATTATATTAAAAAAAAAAAATAAAAGCAAGCCTTAGTTCTGATGACAGAAAGGTCTTAAATTCTAAAAGCAGAGTATATAGAAGTGAGATTAGTCCATCCTAAGCCAGGTACCTGCTTCTACTCTGTTTAGTCAGGCAAGTATTAAATTCATAGGAAACAGAAAAAAAGCTCCTATAAAGATTAGAATGTGTGAGGGCAATTCACCCAGCAGACAGTGGATTCCGCCAGAACAAACTAAAATTCAATGTTGAATTTGCCACTGAAAAAGAAAAGCCCCAGAGAAGAAAGAGGGAAATCTGTCTTCAGTCTGTGTATATATTGTAAGCAATGAGTTGATCTGGGGCTTTGAAGTGGATTCTGTCAAAAAATATTGAGAAAAGGAGACAATGAGACCAAAAAGTAGCATATTCAAAGCTGATGAAGGGAAACATTTTCTTAGAGGTTGTGTAATTAGATTACAGGTTTGTGGCTGCAGGAAGCTGATAAGGTGAGACTTTGTCTCTGTTCAAAGAAGGAATGAGTGTATATATGTAGCCAATTGCAATTTCTGCAGACGGAGCTAAGACGTGAAAGGAGTGAAAACCCAGAGCACGACTTTCTCCTGCAGCATTTCTGGAGCTTTTCTCAGACAGCTTTGATGCTGATTAGCATCAAAGGCAGACTCAGAGTAGAAGGACCTGTGTGGAACAATCTGTCAGGCAGAACTTACAGGGAAACCCCAAATACATGTGGAGCAGAAGAAGGCATCAAGTCCACCTGAGTTTGCTTTTAGTGAAGCACAAATTGGTTTCCAGTAAAATTGCATACTTTGGCCCTAATCCTGTACCCTTTTGCTAGTGGGCATAGCACTTTCTTGGGTTCAGCTCCTGACCTCGTAGGCTGCAGAGCTGGAGGCTGGATGCTGGACTTGGGTATGCCCACCCAGCTTCAGATGTGCCCCACAAGGGCACAGGAGCTGCCCACACCCTGCTGCTTGTGGGACCTTACAGTCCCCACAACTGACATTTTCCTGAGAAGAGGCTAGAAAGGGCTTTGTGCTTCCTTCTTTCCAGACAGTTTCTCCCTCCTGCTTCCCATGTGCTTCCCATTTTCCCCTATGGCACTGTGGCTGTCACCAGCACCTCCGTCCCATGTGCATCATGGGGAGCATCAGTGCTCGTGGCAGCCCCACGTCCCCAGCTGCAGCTCTGTCTCTCCCTCCTCATCTGCCCGTGCTCAGGTGGAGGCTGTGCACATCTCCAGGCCTGGTTCTGCCTCCTTTTCTCCCAGGGAGATCTTTGGGCTGTTCTGCAAGCAGGAATGCTTGGGAGAGAAGAACTTTCTGTTGCTGGGAGTGGGCGACACCTGGCCCTGCACTGGTTGGAGGGAGATGGAGGGGTGGGGACAGTGACCTGCACAGTGCAGGGGAACAAACTGTGGCTCTCACAGGCTGCTGCAGAGTCAGAATGGTCATCTGAGTGCAAAAAGGAGTCCATGCAAGATAATCATTCCAGAAACAACATGATTTTTCTGTATTTTGTAGTCCTAATCTCTGTGTCAGGATTTCTAGGAAACAATGACTTTTTCTTCCTTTTAGGTTTTTTTTTCTTTTTTTTGTTGTTGTTGTTTTCTGGTGGTTTTTTGGGTTTTTTTGGGTTTTTTTTTGTTTTTGTTTTTGGTTTTGTTTTTTTTTGTTTGGTTTTTTTTGTTTTGGTTTGGTTTTTTTTAATCTTGTCTGAGTATTGCACCCAGTAGCTTTCAATTAACTTCTTTTACTGCTCCCATCAGTTGCTGGCACCTAAACAGAAGGATATTTAATTTTGCTGAAATGTGAACAGCAATTTGGGAAGGATAAAAAGTTGAAATGAAGTAAAGGTTTTTCAGACCCTGGGACATCAGCAGTATTTTATTGATTCAAGGGGTCTCTGCATTCAGGTGTCAAGATGATACAATGAGCATTATGATCTTTTTGACCCAAATAAACACTGAAGGCAATTTGCAGTGCTCTGGATCATGCCAGTCAGGCTGGCAGCCCCACTGGATGCAGGCAGCTTCTTAAAGCTTCACTGTGCACCAGAGGGTCTCTGATATTTTTAAATGAAAGGAATGCCTTGAAACTGCCTTCTACAGATGGTATTTAAGGACTTCATCATAAGTGCACTGCAGTCTGTGGAGAGGCTCTACTGCTTTCAGCATGCTCTGAACCAGCCCTGCTCCCAGTATCAAAAGCCAATTTTAGATGATGTCATCCCATACAACAAAAAATGTTAGTGGATTATATGGGGTGAGCTCAATCCAGCCTATGACTAGGCCGAAGAAGACTTCAAGAAGTCTTTCATACTGTGTCTTGAAACAAAAATCCCCACATGTGCAGGCATGCTCCCTGGATCTGAGCTCTCCCTGTGAAAAGTTTGAAAAATCTGTGCAAGCTTTCATTAAGAGAGTTTCTCATGTATATTTGCACCAGCCAAGAAAAGCTGGAGAGGGAGGAAGACAGAGAAGGCAGAAAAATAAAAGGATGCTTACAAAAATGGAACGGAAAAAAAGCATTACTCAGTTTCAAATTTCTCTCTTTTTAATCTACAGTTAAGGATTTTTTTTAATACTACTGCAGTGTTCAAGTATAAAAATACCATACACAGTGTGAAATTATTTTATTTACAACTGTATATATAAATATCTCATTATATTAAGTATTACCTTCCAGTGTTATTCCTAATTGTTGGGAAAGGCAAGAGACTAAATTATACTGTGGTCAACTGAAAGCAGGTTTGGGATGGTTGTGGGTATTGAGAAGTTGACTGGATTAATTTTGCAACTACAGTACTAACTAAGAAACTGCCCTTACGCACACCCTGTCATTTCTGTAGGAGAAATACCTTGCCTTTGTACTGAAAAGCTTTTTAATAATCTTACCTTTACCTGAGAGTAATATGTTTAATGAATTATAAAATGAATCACTATCATTGAGAATTCTTTTTCTTTTTCACAAGGCTGTAAAAGTTTACAGCATTCCTGCATATGAACTCCAGAAAGAACCTGTTTTGAGTAACCTAATTTACACTCTATTGCTCCTCCAGGTTTCTTTCATGTAGTATAAAAATTATTAAATCTAATAGGAGTGGGCAAAACAATTATTTTTATTCTTTCCCTGATTTCTGTGGAATTTTACCAAGCATTGAATTTTTCTTGGAAAACCCCAAAACTTGATTAGGAGATACTATAATGAAATTAATAACACTAGTTTGATGGTACATATAGAATACTTCTGATAATGTTACCAAAAAAAGGTCCCTCATACCTCTTTGAATGTAAAGAGACTCTAAAATTGAGTGTAAATGAAGCTGTAGTGTAAATTAGAGTCAAATTTACCATTTGTAATATCTCATGTCCCACTTGTGAATTGCCTGGAAACTTTGGCTCAGCTGTACAAACGACAGGAAGAATCATCAGAATAAGAAGAATAACAGAGGGGACTGTTAAGCCAGACTCTTGGGAAGAAAGGAAGTTTTATTTTTAGCTTATTAGCTGTTAAGTTTTATATCATGAGCCACTTCCTTTGAACAGGCTTGGCACACCTTTTGCAAGGGAATGCTCCCCATGTTCTGAGGGCAATGAATGAGGTAGGTAGTCAAGACCTATTCTTAGTAGCCACTCACTCAGAGAAAAGAATGTGTTGGGTGTTTTTTACCAGATTCAAAACGTCTTCTTTTATCCCAAAACATGGGAAGTCAGATTAAATTTGCAACATTTTTTTTTCCTTTGTTTTACTGCCATAAGATGCATCCTCTGTCCAAGGTAATAGAGCATTCAGGTAAAAATGTGAAATAAAGCTTTTGAAAGTTCTTCAGAAATATTCATTGGCCACAGAAAAAATAGGCCCGTGATCTGTGTTACACTTTTTTTAAAATCCCACTGGTTTTTTGTTGTTGTTGGAACGGTCTTGTTTTCCCCATGAAACCTTTAACATTTCCCATTGCTTTGGTGAAGAATCTTCAACATCTTCCTCTCCTGCTGCTCCCAGTGCTGCACATCTCAGCAGCCACAGCCCCTGTCGGGGGGGACTGGGTCTCACAGTCAGCTGCAGAAGTTTTCAAACCAGTGCTGGATGGTTCCCTCCCTCCAGACTTGTGCAGACCTTTTCCCGGGCAATTCCTGAACAGTAATTCAGCAATCCTTCCTCTGTAAGTGTCAATCCTTCCACTGTCTACATGCATTGACACAGAGGAGTCAGGGAGACACTGAAGTGGAGATGTGATAGCACTAGGCCATCCTGCTGGCCCGGGAGAAATCCTGGCTCTTCTCCAGGAGCTGGGGAACCTGCTCTTAGCCTCCAGGAAAAGATCTGCTTGCTCCCATTCTGCTGTTTTAACGCAAAGGAGAAGTATTTCCACGGGATGCATTCAGGTACAAGGAACTGCAGATCTGAGCAACTCCATGTTTCCTTCTTTTTGAACACCCAGGACCTGGATGGGTGAGAAGGCCAGACTTTACCTGTGGTCATGGTGAAAAACTGGACTCTGCTCCTGCAGCCAGCATCACCCAGGGTGAGGGGCAGGTCCCCTCGGGCTTCCTGTGTACGTGGCCATCCCAATTTCATCTGTTTGCAACAAGTGGAAATCTCAGCTGCTGCAGCAGCACTACTGATGTTTCAGCTAAGCTTCCAGGGACTTCAGTGTTCTGTGGAATCTGGGCCCTCCTCCATAATATGGCTGAAAATTAATTTTTCTATCCAATCAACTGGCCAAGCAGGGTATTGTCCAGGTCTTGAACTTGGTCCCTGGCACAGCTCCCCAGGCTGGGAGACGGATCACTGCATACTGCTGGTCTCAAGCTGCCTCTGAACTCCAGAGCATTTCCAGATGGATGGAGGGCTGCCACAGTGCAGCAGGGAGAGATTGAGGGTGGGAGGGGAGCTCTGGAGTCCTCCTTTCCACACGAAAAGACACCTCTGCCTTTAGCCTTGACTATTGTAGCTTTTCAAGAAGGGCAGCCCTCCATGAGGTTTAATTACTGGGGGGGGGGGACAGTATGTTTGATTTATTATTCATTCTGTGTCAAATCAAATAGCCCTGCCCTCCAAAGGTGGGCCAGCAGCTTTCTAGAACTTTCTGATGGTCTGGCAATTGCTGACAAGAGGCTGTGCTTTGTTGCCTTCTTTGCCTGCTATGATAAACTCAAGGACTGAGTGATACAAATATGAAGGCTCTGAGAAAGTTGAGTGACCTGTTTTGAAAGTGTAAAAGCAGTGGCAAATGCCAATCTGCCCTCAGTTATTCCCTGTTGTGCTTGGACACATCCAAGACCCAAGGCTTCGCATTTGGATCTTCTTGAGCATCCCTAGGATCCACCCTGAGTGTATAAACACCAGGCTAAAATATATAAAAAATATGACTAGTCTAATCAGAGAGTATTTATAG